TACAAACAGGCTCCAGGCAGCTATGCAGCCATAGGACTAATGATGTATCTGCTAACATTCTACCTTTTAGTTCTGGTTAGATTCTGTACTGTAGAATTAAAGGGGTGAGCTAACTTAAGATCAGTTTCATGTTTTAGGTGAATCTCTGCAGTAATCATAAGCACTTAAGTGGCTAGCCAGATCAAAGTAGGAAGGCAAATGGAGGCAAGGATTAAGAAAGTCATATTTGCTATTTATTATTTTAATTTTTTTTTAAATTGATAAAGGGGTCTCTTACTCAGGCTGGTCCTGAACTCCTACCTAAGACAACCTCAGGTGATTCTCCTACCTCTGCATCCCAGAGTGCTAGGATTACAGGCAGCATGAACCACCACACCTGGTGACTAATTTTTACTACTATAAAACATGTATCTTAATTTTCATATAGAACTGGTGTAAACAGCCCTCTCTGTGAACATCCCCATCCCTGAGACTACAGGCCATCCAGCTGCTCCACAGAGCAGCCCGCGGAGGAATGAAACATGGCCATACAGACCATCCAGTCTTTAGCAGCAAATAAATGATAGTAGTATAGCTTAACAGAAAAGTTAACCACAACTTCGTTAAAATAGTTTGCGTTTTAACGATTTTACTGTAAAACATACAAAGTACACACAGGAGGTGCTAATTCACCTCAAAAAATTTTTAGCATTTGTAGGAGAATGGAGCCTAATGATAATGGGTTGAATCAAATGCTCAATCAGTGCAAGTAAGAAGAACTGGGTGGGGTCCACTCACTGCAGAGTACTCTAGATTGGCATTGTGATTGGCTAAGTGGTTTAGTATGTCTGCAGCAGGCACCATCAAAGGGGAGTTTGGCTCCTTTTCATCCTCCTCTTCCTCCAGTGGTTCCTGAAAGCTGCCATAAAGAGAACTTGGCTAAGGCCCTGTGAGGGACTGGGGGTGGATTTCACTGTTCTTCCCCTCCTGTCCCTCAAAAGAGTTATAAAGAAAAGGGCTCTATCCTCCACGGCTCTATTTACTAACCTATAGGCCATTACAAGGGCCACGAGCTGGTGGTAGAGTTCTAGGGAGCGAACCCTGGGGCTGAAGAGTTCAGGGTGGGCTTCCATGAAGGGCAGCACGATGGAACAGTATTCGCTGCGGATGTTGGTCAAATCCTTCTCCACGGCCTCAGGTACGCCTGTGCCCTGCAGCAAGCGATGGCGCTCCTCCTCTGGCCTGCAGGAGCACCCCCACCCACCCAGGTTCCCTTCACACACCCTACAGCGACTGGTGCTTGGGGGCTCTGTCTCCAGGGCAGGGTGGCGGAGCAGGTTAGTGTGCAGGCATTTCCCCAATCCCTCCCACAGCTCTCACCAGAACATAGGGTGTTCCAGGCGGCCCAGCTCAGGCCAGAGCGCAAAATAGGGCCTCCAGGGTGAGGCTGGGGCCTGCACCTCGTGCAGCAGCGCCAGGAGCAGCGGCACCCAGCCCGACTGGCTCTGTAGCGCGACTCGCTCTGAGAGGAGACAGAAGAGTGAGAACCCCGGCGCGGCCCCGCCAGTCCTCCTCGGTGCCCCCGTCCGCCGGTGTGCCCACCTTGCTCCAGCAGGCCGCTGATTGAGCAGGTGTGCTGCGACAGAAGCGCAGCCCGTGGCACCGCGAATAGCAGCTCACCGGGCTGCACGCTCTCGAGGGCCACCATGCCGTAGCCAGCCACCGTACCCTGCCGGGTTACCGCCACCTGAGTAGGAGGAAAGGCTGGTCAAAGCAGCCTTGCATCCCTGCCGCGCCGCCTTCTCCCCACCCTTTCGCGCACACACTCACCTTGGAACTCAGTTCCAGCCCCACCTGCCCGCACCAGCTCAGGAAGCCAGCGACCGGGTCCGCGTCACAACCGTCCACTGTCCCGGCCACCTGAGATAAGTGAGCGCATAGATGCTACCCAGTCCCAGAGACCCTGCTCCGGGCGGAGGGACCGCGGCGCGTGCGCGCCGGGAGGACGGGCTCGAGTGAGGGAGGGGGCGCGGGAGCGAACCACGCGACCCGCGGGAGGACACTGCAGGCGGTGGTGTTAAGAGTTTGGCGCTGCGGGGAAGGTTGAGCCCCGAGCCTGCCGCCGGTCACTCACCCGCGGGCGCTTTGCCTGGGTAGCCATGGTCTGAGGGCGCACCGCCCTGCGGGTCAGTGGGCCGCCCGGACACTTCCGGCGCTTCTTGCCCCGCCCCGGACACCAGAGCCACGTGGTGCCGATTTGGGGCTGGGAGTCAGTTGAGAGCCTTCCTCCTGGAAATATCTTAGTTGAGTCTAGCAACTGCAGTGGTACTCGCGTGGTCCGAATGCAAGGTCTGTCCTCGTGCCGCCTGGAGCCTGGTTGTGAGCCAGGTACAAAATCCTCCTCCCTGCTTTGGTCTGTCCCCGAAAGCTGAGGCTTATTCGGATAGAAGTGTGGGTGCAAGAACAAATACGGTTTATGAATCGGAAGCCTCGGGTCTAGCGGGTAGCCAGTGGTGAGTGCCCCCATCTGGTCAGTCCCCGCCTTCCTGATCTCAACCCCTGGTTACCGATGGCCATCGAACCGTTTATTATTTGTTCAGCTGAGCAGTTTGCCTGTGTGAATGTATGTGTTTCAGAGTGGCATGGCCTGGAGGACTCCTAGATCTAAAATAGATCCCCTTATGCTCAAGGGGAAAAAAGTAGACCCGCTTCTGCCCTCATTCGCTAATACATCCCCGTTTTTCATCTGCATAGCACGCAGCGCAGCGGGATTTTTTATTTACTTGCTTTATTAGCTGACATAGAAGGGACTATTTGTTGGGTACATGAATAAATGGAACGAAACAAATGGTTAAACTTGGAGAAGCAATGCTGTTGTTATATTTACAAAACAGGGCAGTGAATAGAGGTTACAGGTATGGGTTTGAAGCCAACTAATGCTGTAGTACATCTGTCACCTTGGTCTCTTACTAGGCAAACTCTTTATCCTGAAACTCAGTTTCTCCAGCTGTGAAAGAGGTTAACATCTACCTTATAGAATTAATGTAGGGATTGTATGTGACGATAGTCTGTTGGCCTCACCTGACACCCTCAACCCCATCTAAACCCAAGAAGCACCATCCGCCTCAATCTAAACAGTGTCTATTGAAAAACTTCCCATAATGGGCATGGCAGCACCACACTTGCATTCTTCTTAGGTTCTTTATTAGTTTTTGAGCACAGTTAACTCTTTCTACATTGACAAGGGTTTTTGTTTTACACTTTGTCATCTGAAAGTCTCATTACATCAGCCACCAGAATACACAAAATTAGGCTCTTTACTTTGTACAGAGAAGAAAATAATAAACTCCATTAAAAGTTCACCTTGACCAAAGTGATGATCTCCAATGGAAAACCACACTCAGGAGGACCCAATATACATATATATAGTGTGTAGATATTTATAGATATCTGAAAACACAGCAAAAAAAAAAAAATCAAGATTTGCATTATTATCTACAGTAAGAGGGATTAATTCTACCAGCTTTCAGTCACATTCAATATTCAAAAGAAGCACATGAGTGAACAGAACTGGGGTCAGACTAACTTTCCACCAGGCTCTACAGCAGTCTAGTAATGGCTTAAGATTATAGAAGGGGGATGATTTGTGCAGAGAAATATGGACGTAGGTGTCCCCTCAGCTTCAGAACACCCCCCACAGACAATCCTCCTCCTTCCATAGCCCTTTATTTTTTCATTGCTCTCCCCTCTCTGTTTTGGGGGTTTTTACCATCAATTTAGGTTCCAAGACAAAGGATCTGGTTTCTGGGCTGGGGGATTTTACAAGGTAAGGTAGGTGGGCTGGAGGTCAGTATACGGCACGAGCCTGGGTTTCAGGTAGCAGGAGGGATCTGGGGTGTGTGGGGAGCTTTTCACATCTACCCGGCCCTTGTTCACATCAGGAACTTCAGCCAACCCCAGCCCATGCCCACCCCAGCAGGCTGAGATGGGGATGTGGAACTGTAGAAGTCTCACTCCTTGGACCAGTTTTCTCCAGGTAAATGCTCTTCCTTAGTGATGCCTAGCAACCAGAGCTCTTATCTAGAAACACCACTTGCTACTGATGATTGAGTTGTTCTCTGGAAGCATAAGGGTCTATGGGATGTCTCAGCTGCCCCCGCCTCTGGCCACCTGCTAGCTCCCAAGGTCTGGGGCGGTATGGGTTATGGAGGAAGTGCACACAACACACATGGGCTATCCCAGCCTTTGCTCTCATCCCCAGTTAGGTCACTGTGGAGACGGAGGACCAGTGACTTCTGCTTCAGGGAGAAGTGGCTCAGAAAAGGGATAGGGCCAGGAGGTGGCAGAGTGTGTAGGCTGGAAGGGACAGTCAGTGGGGTTCCTGCCCTCAGGGTTCTCCATGTTCTGTCTTCCTGGGACAGAGAAACCTCCTTCAGCCCCTGCCTACTTGGCCTTACAGCACCAGCCCCGCCCAGCCCAGAGAGCACCAGGAAAACGGCTGTCTTTTCGGAGCGCCCCCTTGTGGCTATTCAGATTGTCACATGTGCTACAAGACAGAAAGGTGTGCTTGGTGGAGGGTAGGGAAAGGGGCTCCTGGTGCTCCCTGCTGCTGTCTCCTGGCTCCCATGCCAGTGCCTGAGCTGGCCTCCATGCTTCTGTCCCAGCACCCACCCACTCAAAGCCCCCTCCCGTCTTCAAACCTGCCTGCCCAAGAGCTGGACCTTTTCCCATACCCCTGCCTGCCTGTGCCACAGGGAGTTTGGTGAAGGGGTCCAAGTCAGTCAAGCTAACACACTGAGATGGAAGTGGGGAGGAATGAGTCACTCAGACCATCCAGAGACTGTTCTGCTGCAGGATCTATGATGGACTCCCCCCTGACTTTCAAATAAAAGAGAAGTAACCCCATTTCCTCCCCTTTGCCCTTACAAAAATAAACTAAAGGGAAAATGAGCTGGCACAAGGATGGCAGTGGGACCTCAATGTGGGCGGGCAGGTGGGCATCTTCCGTGGGACCAAGGACTTCAACAGGACACCTCCATGGTGTGGTTGACCTGGCCCAGCCCCTCACTGCTCTCCGAGTGGGTGCAGGCCTGTGGGCGGCTGCCATCCACCGAGCTGGCGCTGGTAAGGGAGGCGGTGCGGGAGCGTGCCAGACGGGTCATGCTGGCTGAAGGCACTGTGGACAGAGACAAGATGGGGTGAGGACCATCAGGTAGGGCCGGGTGCCTGCTGGCAGGAGAAGGATAATGCAAGCAAAGCAGCCATCGAACCATTCTTCCAACAGCACAGAGAGGCCCCTCTCAAGTTAGGGCACTGGCATGGGCTCTGGCCTGGGACATGCAGTGCCAGCAACAGTTGGTGAGCCCAGGGGCTGTGGCCAGCAGGACCCTCCCTCTCAACAGCCAACCATGACCCCCTGAGCTGGAATGGGGATGTGCTGGATTTCCAACTATGCTTCCCTCAAGAGGATGACAGGATAGGGAAGTAGGGTTGCTTCTATAGAGGATGATGCAAGGTGGTAGCCTCATTGCCCTGAATTCAGAGTTTAACAAGTAAGACTTGCAGTGAGCAAACTATCCTCCTGAACTCAGCTGGCTGCCTATTTGGCTTGGACAGGGTGGGGCCTGGGCTCCATCTCCGAGAAGGGTCGGGTTCCAGCTCCCAGAGCTCTATAAGCCACGCAGCCCAGAGCAGCCTAGAAGCAAGACTCTTTTACAACCTGGCCAAACTGGAGGCCAAGATCTTCAGAATAACAAGAATCTTTGGGGATTCTGAGTTGACATAGAAGGTTCCAAACCCATAGCAAGATGTGCCTGGCTGCAGCACTGCACAGAGGTAGGAGCAGGGAGGGGAGGTTGGGGGCCATGCATTGGGGTGGGGGGGATGGGGCTACCTGCTCCTCCACTCAGCCTTCGGTCCTTCAAGTATGCAACTAAGAGAGAAGACAGAGCCAGGGAGGACAGGGGAGGGGAGACAGCACAGTGAAGAGCACAGTCCCAGGCCAAGGCATGAAGATAGGCCAGAAAGAAGACAAAAGGACAGGCAGAGAAAAGGCCACGGCAGGGCCAAAGCCTCAGAGAGCCCACATCTCTGCCCCCCTTCCAGCCCAGCAACGGCCCCTGGAAGGAACTACAACACAGATTGATCTGTGTGGCCTGAGCCCTGACAACAGGTGGTGTTGTCATCCCCATCCCCCTTCTCCGGCCTGGCCCACTGAGGGGCCCACAGCCTACTGCCAATGCCTTAACCATCTGCCAGGCCTCAGTCTCCTCATGTATGGAATACATCCCTCCCCACTTTGGGGGCACTGAGTGGTATTTCTCCCAAGGTCCCTGAAACACACATCCCAGAGCCTGATAGGCAGTGCTCATGCTGTCACTTCACAAATGTTCACCATCTGTGCCATGACCTGGCCTTAATCTCCAGCTGCATCTCTGAAGCCTGGGCCTCTCTGCCCTATTTCCACAGGAGCTGGTGGGAATTCTATTCCTGGGTGGGCTCCCAGACTTCCCCACAAGCCTGCCCCTCCTGTTGCCCTAGAGATGCCAGCCCTAGAGACCGATGTCTTCAGGAGAAAATAACAAATTAAGGGAGAGGAAGTTTGTTTCCTGGCAGCAGGAAAGCTGGGACACCCAGCAGGTATGTGTTGGGGGAGAAAGAGTCGAGCCACCAGGGTCCTGTGTGTTGCCCACTAGTTCTGGATCGGCAGATGTGCCACCCAGGCTCAGCTGTCTTCAGCTCTGTTACACCCAGGGGGCCCCACTTGCCTTCCCTGGTCCCTCCCCAGACTCCAGGTCCACTCCTGTGATACTCCTGGGTTCATTCACCACTATGGCAAAGGGCCTTCTCAGGCGCATAGGCCCAGCTATGACCCCTGGCCCAGCAGGGGATGGGTGTTGTGAATAACTCACCTTTAGGCTTCCCTGACAGGCCCCAGCCTCAGGCCCTGGACTCTCCAAGACTAGAGAAGAGCCCCAGCACTGCCATCAGAACAGTGCTTGAAGGCCTCCCTGAGGGCACAGGAGAGCTGGGTACAGCCTGGGACACTCAACTTACAGCTCAGGTAGAGCTAGTGTGTGGCCCAGCATCCAGGCCCAGATAACACAAGGCACAGACACCACAGACTTTTTGGCACCACGCGTCAGCCCACCAGCATGACTCCTCCCGCTACCCCCTCACCAGTGTCTGGGACAGGTGGGGTAGAGTTGTACTCACTGTAGCCCATGCCCTGCAGGAAGTATTTGAAGGCTTCAGTCAGCTTCCCTGGCTATAGGAGGGCAGAATAGGCACATAGTTTGATGATGGCTGCTTGGGATGCCAGGGGTGGAGACTTCCCCTATTCCCCACTCCCCAGGCTAGGTGATATAAAGGACAGAGGGCCAAGAGTCTCACCTGTGTGACCTGGGGAAGGCCCCCAGAATCTGCCATCTGTAAGGAAGAAAGTGTGATAAGCTTAATGGGGACCCCCCACACTGGCACAGGCTCCCACCCTGGCTGAGACTCCAGGCTGGTCCCTCCCTGAGGCTGGGCCTGTGCCAGGGCAGCCTGCCCAAGGATGAATGAGGAGGCCTCACCTTCAAGAAGGTCGTGGTAGTTGGGTCCAGTTTGGAGTTGCACTCAACCTGAGGACAAGGGGCTAGCTTCAGCAACAACCCTACTCCCCATTGCGAAGGCAGGTTCTATGCCCAGAGCCACAAAGGGAGGGTACAGGGAGGCAGAGGGACAGCCAGCCCCTTGGGTCTGGGTGAGACTGGCCTTCCCAGTCTCTCCTCCCAGGGCTCTCCCAGCCCTTGGAGCTTAGGCACCTGAGGGGCCTGAGACTCTTGGGGCCCACCCCCAACTGCTAGTAGGGCAGGAATGGGGCAGGAACCGGCCTGGAAAGCCCCAGGGGCCTCAGGAATCAAAACAGTGAGGTGAGGGGGTGCCAAGGTCCACATGAGACTCTGAGACTGCTCCCAGTAGGGCCATCCCCTGTTCTTCCAAGCCCTCTGGGGAGGGGAGGTGGGCATGGGAAGCCTTGGCATTTTCCAGGCACTGCTAGACTCCAAATCTCCAGGCACCCTGCCTCCAGGTACCCTACTCCCAGGCCACCTACTCCCAGAGTTACCACAAGAGAGGTGACATCGCTCCTCCCCAACATAATGGGTACAAGTGGTGCTGATTTGTGCCTGAATTACTTATTTTATAATGAGTCAATCACATTTTAGAGAAAAGAGAGATCTCAGGCTCTGGGGTGCCAGAGGTAGGTAGAGAGCCAGGGGAGGGCTGTAACACTGGGGAGGGAATACAGGCCATCAGGTGGCCCCAGTCCCTCCCATTTGCAGGCCTCGCTGCTGGTGATACCTGGGAAGAAGGGGAAGTGGATAAGAAGGCCGCCAGGATGGTCTGAGGCTACAGTGGGCTGGGTCATGAACTGGTCCTGCTGGCCAGGGCCCAGTGAGGCCCTACTCCTACCTCCCACCCCCATCAGCGCACAGCCTCACACTCACCACCCCATCCTCAGCGGGTGCATTATCCCCGACCACCAGCATCACTGGGCAGCTGCAGACACGGAGAAAAAGGGCTGTCTGGCCGGTTTAGGGGGCAAAAGCTGGGGAAGGCTTGAGGGCTAGGGAGCACTCACCGGAGTGTCTTGGCATTGGGCACTGTTCCAGGCCGGTTAATGTCCAGGTCTCTGCGACTGTGGGCGAGGAGCAGAGGTGAGCATTCCAGGACTGGAAGAGGAGGGTCCCCAAGCCCTTTTTAAATGGGGACCTGCTGTGCATAAAGAGGGGCCAAGGGGTATACCTCATGCTGACTTCTTTGTGGACCCCTAAATCATGCCAGGTAGGCTCTCAAATTCTTCCTTCAATCCCCCCAGAGCCATGTGTGCTGTCTGTGTTGTGGGAGTTTCTGCTGCTGGCACAAGGCCTGGACATACGGGCCAACAGGGCCTGGGTCTCATTTTCTATCGTTTTTCTGGCCCCATGCCCACAGCCAAGTGCTTAATATTTGTGGGGGAAAAGAGAAGGCAAGTCAGGCAAGTAAGGGGGCCTAACTATCCCCCTGCAGGACAACCCCAAAGGAGCTCCAAGGAGCACAGCTTGTAAACCACAGGCTCGTCCAGTCTCCTCCCATTTCATAGATGTCAGCATCAAGGCTCAGGCTGTTGGACTCAGGCATGTTGATAGCATCCCCCAGTGCTCCTGGCCAGCAATGCAGCAGGGGGAAAAGAAGTGGAAAAGCCCAAGGACCAGAGTCCAAAGACCTGCTCCCTCATGGGGGTGTGACCCTGGAGAGGAAGCGACCCCCTCTGAGGCTCAGTAGCCTGCTCATCAACAGTGTGCCTGCCCACACCTGTTGTACATGTTCCAGAAGAGCTGCAGGTTGGCCTGGTTCACCACGTTCCCAATCTGCTGCCGGTAGCTCTGCACCAACTCTGTGTTGTTCACCAGCTCCTCCTGGGCCCAGAGGCATGGGTGGGGGTGTGGAGGGGAGCAGGCAAACAGGATGCAGGCTCAGAGTGGGTTTGCAGATGTTACTGCCAGAGTAGCCCTTGCCCCACTCCCAACAAGGCAGGGGTAGGAGGGTGAGAGAGGGCAGAGGGTGAGGCCTCCCACCACCATCTGTCTCTCAGATGTTACAGCATCATGGGTAACAAAAGAATGCAGAGACAGGTCAGATGCAAAATACCACCTGCCTTCCCCCTCCTGGTGGGTGGGAGGGGTAGAAGTTCAGGGTGCCCTGAAAGTGAGAACTAGGCCCTTTGGAGGATGCCAAGCCTCTGAGCCAGCCCTGCAGCTGCTGTTCCTAAGGCGGATTGGGGTCCATAGAAGTGCCGCCCCTTACCTGGCTGAAGAGGTGGGAGAGCACTGTGTCAGGTAAAGTGCTAGTCAGGCCGGAGAGCTGCAGGCCAAGGGGGAAGCCACTGTAAGGGTCACTCTTGCCACTCCCAGCCCACCCCAGGTGCACCCTGCTTACCTTGGTGGCAGCCCAGTCGATCCAGCCTTTGCCATTGGGGTCAATGTTCATCAGCACCAGCCCCTCCACCAGGTCAGGGAAGATGAGCTGCCATGACAGGGGAGACAGGGCTAGGTGAGGCCTGGGAGTGGGGTGCAGGGAGACCCAATCTTCCTACCTAGAAGATGGGCTGTAAAATTCTGGCCCTGCCCATCTTATGCTAGCTCATCAGTGGCTAGAGGTGGAAATGCTCTGTAAAGTCTTCAAGATACCACTGATGAACCGATCGGCTATGGCTGGGACTGCACATCCACTATCCTATGGCTCCAGATGCTTCTGCGTGCCCTCCCCAAACCCCAAAGCTTAATAATCCTTGGATTTATCTAGCATCTGTACCACTGTTTTCTGCCCTACTGTATTTTTTAAGATGGCGCAGTTGTAAAACTGAGTGTTAGACATTTTCAAATCTTAAACATGTTATTTCTTTGCCTTTATAGAAAATGAAGCCCTCAAGATATAAATGAAGAAATTGACCTTTTCTTAAAGACTATTTTGGGTTGAACACAGTAAAAAAAGATCTCTGTTTTCTGTTTGTTTGTCCATGTTTAGAGAAAAATGTCAATATGCATTCAAGACTGTACCCTAAGTTGTCTGGGGTAGTAGGAAATAGTCTGCAGTTAACGTGGCTAAGTATTGAAGTTGAAACTGGAGTTGAAAATTCTTGGTCATTTCTTTTGAAGAAATAAATATTTGGAATCCTATCCTGAAAAGCCAGGTTTTTTGTTCGTAAAGATGAAAATCTGTGGACTCCTATCCAACATGTTTTTGAAATGTGACTTCTTCACATCCTTAATGTAAGTGTGATTTTTTGAAAAGAAATTACTCACTCATTTTTTTTTTTTTATTATGTAGAGAGGGTCTTGCTATATTTCCTAGGCAAGTTTTGAACTCTAGCCTCAAATGTTGCCTCCACCTAGGCTTCCCAAAGTGCTGGGATTAAAGGTGTGAGGATTAAAGGTGTGAGGCATGACTGGCTCAGCCACTTAAATACTACATAAATTCGTGAAGGATAATCCTTATCTAGTGGCTAGAGTAATCAGTTGTAGTTTGATGCCAACAGAAATTTTGGCTTTTGATAATAGTTTAAGCAAGTTATAATTTATAGTCTTTTGAGAAAATATATGGAGAAATGAACTCTTTTTTTTTTAGAAAAAACTTAATTTTCTGGAAGAAAAAAAGAAATAAGGGGTATCTACATAGAAAGAAGGTGGGGAAGGAAGGGAAGGGAGTCAGGGAAAGAGACTCCTTGCTGAAGAGTTGTTCTGGGAGACCCCTGACCTGCAATGGTGTTGGGATTATGGGTGGGGGTGGGGAGACTCACTGCAAACTTGGCCAGCACATAGGCTCCAGCTCCCACTCCAATGCCAATCACGTACTTGAACCTGGTACAGAGCAGGCTGGTTACTTTCTAGGGCTGAGGGTGCCATTTCCCATAAACACCATTGGGAGCCGGCCCCACCCACAGCCTGAAGCCCTCAGCTAGAGCCAGGTGACTCTACAGTGGTAGTGGGTACCCCCTGCCTCACAGCACAGGGGCAGGGGCTAGGTGAGGACTCACCCAAAATGCTGCACCACACTGGGAAGCATGGCAGCCAGTTGCTCCATGGAGGGGAACTGGTACCTGCAGGCAGAGCAGGAGGTCAGAGCCCAGGAGCAGCCTGGGATGCAAAGCTGGAGAAAGATGGGACTCCAGGGTACCTACCCTTGAGGAAACTGTGACGCCCCCACCTGCTGTCCAGGAGCATCCACATGGCACACCACAAAGTGCTTGGTGATCTCCTGCATGTCCTCAAAGTTGAAGAAGGTGTTGAAGCACAGCTTGTCTGCAAAGACACACCTCAGCTGTGGCCGAGTGGAGGGGTAGGGTGATTGGGAGGGAGGCCAGTGGGCCCTGAAGGGGTGGGCGAGGCAGCGGTGATCAGCCTTAGGGCCCAGTGAAGAAACAGAGGCCTGGATGGCCACAGCTACGGAGCTGAGTGAGAGGGGAATCTACAGGGCCTTGTGGAGAGGGAGGGAAGCCGCACTGCTCTGGCAGACTGGAGGCAGGGCAGGCTGGATGACGCTGGGCTGCACTTACGGTTGAGGCCCACATCATGGTAGGTGAGGATGGCTGGGCGGTTCCCCTTGGGGGAGCCCCGGATCACCACATGCAGAAGGCCATAAGGCGTCTCAATGTCGTGTTCCTGGTGGGGAGAGATGGCACTGCAGGCTCTGGGCAGCCTGGGCCCCCCTTATGGTGTCCCGTTCTCATCACCCCAGTTTGGCCCCAGAGAGGGCAGGCCACATGGAGCAGCCCTTCTCAGGGGTGTTCAGCACAAAGACAGCACAAATGGTCTGTATGGGAAAGTTCGGGTCCTCTCTGCAAACTGGGTAGCAGGTTGTGCCACCATTGCCCAGCCCAACCCAGCCCCCGCACTCTGTGATCCAGGATCCATCAAGGACAGTTTTCTGCATCTTACACTAGTCCCTCCTGGATAACTCTGCCACCCCCATTTGAGACCCTTCCCCACTCAGAACTCTCAGGGGCTTCCTGCCCCTGAAGGAGAATGACCTCAACAGCCTTGCCCAGAATCCTCAGCAAACACTGCCAGGGCAGCCAAGCCCAGCCCCCATCCCCTACACTTGGCTTTGGGTCCCACCTTAGGCTCATGCCATGCCATCCACCCACCCTGAATGCTCATCCCTGTGATCCAAGTATCCCAAGGTCACCCTTTAGAGATGGCCAGGCCAGGCCCCAGTTCTTCCCCAAATGCCTTCTGTAGTGCCTGCTCTGGGATCCCCCAAGTTCATGCCCGGGGTTTTCCTGCTTAGGGTCTGTAGTTCCTCAGGAGGACCCACTCTGCCACTTACTGTGTGTGACTCTGAGCAGGGCCTGTCACTACTCGGCCTCTTCATTTTGAGTCATCTCATAGGATTTTGTGAGAACTAAATAAACTGATGGCTGAGGAGTGTTCATAGCACTTGGAGGTGGCCCCAGAAATGGGGCTGTTGTTCTTGGGCACCCCTGAGCCTTGGGGAGATGATCTGCTGGCTGGTCCCTTTGCAAACTGGTCACTCTTGGCTACTCACTTTGGCAAACACCAAGAGAGTCTGAATAAACAGCCCTGCTATGCACCATGGGGAGCCCTGGGTGCCACAGCGGAGTGGCCCAGTGAGTTGCAGCTGGGGTCAGGGCAGGAAGGAAACATCGGGTGGCTGAGCACCTACTGTGTGCCAGGCCTCCTGCATGTCATCTAAGAGAGAAGGGACCTTATTCTTTGTTTTTCAGACAGGGACACTTAGGTTCAGAAAGGGCCTAAGTTCCTGCCTCCAGCAGGAAAGGAGACACTCAGGTGGCAGGAGACAGCTTCCAGGGACTGGCCTTACTGGGTCTGGTCACCAAGGACCACTGTCTAGACCTTTGTCTCCAATGGGGAGTAAGAAGGTGGTGCCAACCTGGTGGCTAAAGGCCAAACCCCGAGAGCCACACTTCTGCTTTGAGGGCTGTTTATTTTCCTGTTATTCTCCAGGTGGGCCCAGGGCCACCACAGCCTCATATGACCGAGACCTGTTCTCCTTCAGGAAGTCAAGGGACACTTCCTGTTCACTTGACCACAGATCAGACACTTCTGGTATCTTTTTATTTACTCCTCACATGGACCCAAGCCATAGAGAAGGAGACTGAGGTCAGGAAAGGAGAAACGACTTGCCCAAGGTCAAGCCCAGAAAGGGCAAGACTGTGCACTAAAGGCTGCATGTTCTTCGAAGATCATTGTCCACCCAAGGGAACTGACCCGTTCTCTCAGCTCTGGAGGGAGGGGTTAGGGGCAGGAGGGATGCACGTGCAGAAGAGCTGCAATGCGCATAAAGGGCGGTTCACAAATGGGGTCAGCCTCGCCCAGTGGGCACAAGTCAGAGCCCAGGGCACTAGGTGAGAAGCTCAGACCTCCACTGCCAGGGGTGCCAGTGAAGAATGTCTGCCCTACATTGCCGAGGAGGCGCCGTCTGTCCCCTCCCAGCCATGGAGTGGCCGCCTCCATCTCCATCCCCAGACCGCGACCAGGGCGAGCCCTGCTAAGACCGGGTTGCCTGTCCCATGCAGCCCGGTGACCTTGGCTGAACCTTCCCGCCAACCGCTCTTGCACTCCTCCACCAGTCCGCGAGGACCTGCAACTCAGTTCAGCTTGATAGAAGCCCCAGGTCCCCAATCTCCGGGTGCTGCGCAAGGGGGGCACCCCAAGGGCTGAGGCGTTCTGAGCCCCCTAAGGCCAGGGCCGAGTGCTTCCATTGGCTCCCAGTGACGTCAGAGCGGCCCCGCCTCCAGGTGGGCGCCCACAAGAGGCACTGCGGCAGCAGGGGAGGGGGCCCTGACGTCCCCTCTCAGCCCATCCGACTTCTCTCGCCTGTGACCTTGAGCGTTCGCGGGTGTGTGTGTGGGCGATCTTCAAGCTGGGCTTTGGAACCTCTGTGAGGGGATGGGGGGATGGGTGCGATTCCTTCTGTCAACCCCATCAATAACTGGGGGCAGGTCGACCCCAAGCGGGGCGACCTCAAGGTCTCTAGACCTGGCAGCGCAGGGATGTGGCCCTGGGAGTGAGGCAAATCTGCCCTCCCCTCTCCCTCCTCGAGGAAGAGCAACACCTGGGGTCTGGGAACCTGCTGCCCAAGGGATGAGAGGAGGTGCCCTGGGGCCTGCCTGAGGCCCCTGGCTGAGGGTGCTCCTGGCTCTAGCACTGCCTTCCCTCACCTACAAAATTAGGCATGCAGGGACCCCCCCTCCACATTTCCTCCCCTGCAGAGACTCTTGTCTGAAGGCTACCATGACTGCTGAGACCCAAGCTGGCAGCTGGCATGGCAGAGCCCTGGGGACTGTGCACCAAACTCCTAAGGAAGAGGCTGTCTGTCCGGACTGCATTCTGGTAAAACCATCCAAACCACCAAAATGACTGCCCACATGCCCAGGACGGCAGACCCAGCACACACAGACTCTTAGACACATGCTTGAGCGCTCACAGAGGACACCCTCACCCTGAGCTGATGGTCCCTGGGTGCTGAGGCAGACGCCAGCGAGCACCGGGGCAGAGGGCACACGGGATATACATACGTCGGCACACGGGTCCACACAGGCAACACAGACAAGTCCCATTTCCTTCAGGGATTTCAATCCTCCCTGTCACCTCCCACCACCCGTCCCCCAGCCTGACTAGCAGCTGCCTCCAACCACTCCTGCAAACCACGGTCACCAGGAAAACTCTGGCCTTGCCTCAGTGACAACCCCCGCCCCCCACCTCCCAAGGTGAGGCAGCTGAAGGCAGAGCTGCCACCAACCATGGGCTGAGGGATGTGATTCCTCCCTGCAGCGAGGTCACAAGGATGCGCAGTCCTTCCTGCCTGCCTGGCTGCTCCCGGAGCTCTCACTCACCCCATCCCAGCACTCCGGCATCTTGCCGAGGGAGGGAACCCGCCTCGACCAGGAAAGGCAAACAAAGGCCTGAGTCACTCGGGTCCAGAGGGAGGGGGCAGCTCGAGTGGGAGACAGATGACTGTGTGACGGGGCACTGCTTCTGGGCCATTTATACGCAGATTCTGGCCCAACGGAGGCAGGCCCCTCCTCCCTGCAGGGTTTCTAAGCAGCCACTTGCTCGCCCTGAGCTCCGGCTTTCCGATTGGCTGCTGGGAAACAAATCCAGCTATCATTGGCTTCCGTGGGCCTCTCTGGCCCCAGCCCGCCGCTGCTCCCGCCCAGAGATGCAGCATCATCCATGGTCCCAGCCCTGCCCCCCTACCAGTCAGGCACACAGCTGCTGCTGCAAACAAGGTCTTGTAACGCAAGTGCTGAAGTCACACATACACAGACTGACCCATGATAGGGGCCTCTGACGGAAACGTACAGCCATGTGGGCAAGAAAGGACACATAGGCATCATCCAGACAGGCAGAGCCTTTGACTCACACCCTGGGCAGTATGGAGGGCCTGAGAGGGCCCTAGACCCAGCATCCCCATCCGAGGTCCAAATCACTTAACCTTGAAAAGACCTGGGGGTAGAGGGGTGTCAGTGCTTTTCAGGGCAATCTGGGTCTCCAACCTGCTTCAGGAGACTATTCCTTCTCCACCTGCATGAATGCCCAGAGCTTGCCCACATTGCTGAAAGAGAGGTTCAGGGGCTAGGGCCCCTGGGCAAATTGCAGGACCAGGGGTATGTTGGGGGCATATAACGACGCTGTTCCCTCTACTCCACCTGGCTGCAAGGAGTCCCAGGCCAACCAGTTTGGGGCTTGGCTCCCAGATGTCTGGGAGCAGGCCACGATAGCCACTTTAGTGGCATGCCCTGTCCTCTTGGGCAGCAAGGATCTGCGTAGTGAGCTGGCCTGAGGCATGCAGGTGGCGTGAACAGAGAAGGGGTGCCACAAGAGAGCAGAGGAGGACAGGAAATAGGACGGGGTGGGGGGAGGGTTTCTGGTGCCTGTGCCCCCATTCTGTCTTGTTGAAGAGGCATGCTACTCGCCCCAGCCTGTACCGACAGCCCTGCACGCTGGCCAGCTGCCCTTGGGGAAGGTGGTCAACCCCTCATCCCTGGATGGCCTGGTGACCTGGTCAACATCTGCCATGTGTGCTATTCCTGGCCATGTCCTCTGTTTGGAAACACCAACAACTAGCCCAGCCCCATCTTTGACCTCTTGGGGCCTAGAGAAGAGTGCTGTCCCCTGTAACTCCCCAGGGCAGCAGGATGTGGAATGGGGTGTTCCCCAGCCCCTCACCTCCTGCCTAGGCTCCCTGTTTCTGTAGCACATGAAGCCAACTGAGACAGCCTGCAAAGGCACAGCCTTGCCCTCTGCTCTGCTCACAGAGTCCTCCCATTCCCCCACAGTGCCCTCAATCCAGGCATGCACTCAATCCTATGCCTGCTCCAAACTCCTATGCCTCTCACCCCCACTCCCCGAACCCAGGTAACAAGCTGGCCTGTGACAATTCCCACTCTGAGCCACAGCCCCCATTTCTGCCCAGCTCATTGACTACAAATCCACCTGACAAATCCACTAAGTCTTCCTGGCCCCCCACTAGCTGGGTGATGTGTAGAGGAAACTGAGCCCTGATCTTTAGGATAAGTCTCGCCTTCTTGCTTGAGAGACCTGGAGAATCACGAGAATGGCATGTGAGTTGTGCGCGTGCAGGAGATCAGAAAACTGGCCTCCAAGAGAAAATGTATGTGTGAGGTGTGGCACTGATGATGGGAAAGATTCTCTGAAGTCCACAGGTCTCTTGATGCTGGAGGCAGAGGTTGTGCTCAAGTTCTGAGGTTTAGGAAAACAAATTGGAGACACTGCATCTGACACTTTCCATATTCCCTTTTTTAATGCTGATGTCTGATAAATAACTTTAAACTCCTTTTTCCTGCTTTGTGATAATAAATATTACTCAGGAGGGCTCCTCCCAGAGTTCCTCAGTCCCCATGACACAGACGTCGTCAAGCCTCTTCATTCCTCGTGCCAAGACCCCTCTTCTGGTGACCACAGACCCCTTCACTTCAGCATGGTTTTTTGTTTAGATTCTCCATGCCATAGGCTTCTCAACTATAAACCAAGAATTGGGTACCCTCCTCAAAGAGTTGCTATGAGAATAAGAAAAAACTACATAAATCCCTCCAGACACAACCCCACCCTACCCAGGCCCTGCTAGGGGAGAAGTGAGACAATGTGCTTGCTCTCCAGACTTGGCTCCTTCTCTGAAGGTTGTGTGGTTATTGTGGCCAGAGAAGGCAGCCTTGGGTCTCACTAGCCAAACCTTGGTGCCAGTCACAGCTATGTCACTTTTTTGCTATGTGACCTTGGGCAAGTCAGCCCACCTCTCTGAGCCTCCATAGGTAAATGTGAGAAACAGCAGAGCCTACTGCACAGACAGCTGCAAGGACAATACACATACTTCTCATGCACCTATGAGAAAGGATGAGGAAACTGAGGCGCAGAGAGGTGAGGTAACTTTCTCACCCAGCTAGTTAGTAGGGGAGCTTACTAGCACCTCTGGGCCTGAGGTCTCATAACCTAGAGTGGGGAACACTTTCCCAAATGTCTTCCACATGCCAGGCTCTAGTCAAACATTTTACACATTACCTTGTTTTATCTCCTTTTTAAATATATATTTTATCTTAAAATATGGAATGCTTCACAAATTTGCATGTCATCTTTACACAGGGGCCATGCTACTCTCTGTATTGTTCCAATTTTATTCTGTTTTATTTGTTTACTTATTTTTTTGAGACAAAGTCTTGCTATGTTGCCCTTGATAGAGTGCTGTGGCATCACAGCTCACAGCAACCTCAAACTCTTGGGCTTAAGAGATTCTCTTGCCTCAGCCTCCCAAGTAGCTGGGACTATGGGCAACCACCACAATGCTCAGCTATGTTGTTGTTGTTGTTGTCATTGTTGTTTGATAGGCCCAGACCGGATTCAACGTGCCAGCCCCGGTGCATGTGGCTGGCGCCCTAGCCAATGAGCTACAGGTGCCAAGCCTCCAATTTTATTTTATTTTAATTTCTTCCTAACCACTTTACAAAAGAGGCAAATGAGGCACAGAGAGGTTTGGTAACCTGCCCAACATCACACTGCCAGTGAATACAGAGCCAGAAATCACACCCAGGCAGTTTGGCTCCTACTCCAAGCTCTGGTGGCCGTCACAGTCAGCTGGGTGCCTGAGTGCCAGCCCTGTGGGCGCTATTCCCTAATAAATGCTCAGGGAGGTCCATGCTGCCTGGCTCACTGTGAAAATGAGGTGGCCAAGTGGAGTGAATTGTGCTAGAGGCCATGTGGCCTATAAGTGGTAGGGCCAGTGACCCCGCCTTGGTCTGTCTGGCTCTCAGTCCCTCTGCCATGCTGCCTCTCCCATTGGCTGGGCACATTGAGGCAAGGGACAGAGATGCCACCTGCCACAGCAAACAGGGAATAAAACACCCGCCAGGTCTTAGCCCAGATAATGGCCATCCTTGTGGCTGCTTCTCTTAATAAAAAACAAATAACAACAACAACAACAAACTTGTCTTCAGGTGGTGTGACCACAGTGGACAGGAAGGTGCCTTTTAATAAAACTTGCCCTTGACTAAGTGAAGGATCCTGGGAAATGAGATCCCCATATACTGCGGTTGGCTTCCCTGGGTGAAGGCCCCACCACCTGGGGGCTGCTGCTCAGAGGGCTTGATGGGCAGAGAGACAGAAGTAGCTGGGTACCCAGAGGTGTGGGGACCTCATGACCTCAGGAGTCCTTTCAACCCCTTCCCACCTGTGTGCATGTGTGTGTAGTTGTCATTGATAACCAGCACCCCTGGTCTCAGCTCTCTCATTGTAGGACCACAGTGTCAGGGCACAGGAGCTGGCTGTTCCAGGATGTTATTTTGCCAGGCTCCTCCTCCAGGCCTGTCTGCCCATATATTCCCACCGTCTTTGGGAGCATGGAGGACAAAGGCAGTCTTTCTTTCCAAGCAGCCTCGGGCATCTCCCAGCCACATCCTTTCCACAGCTCCTGGGCTCCCATGCATTCTCCACTGCCAGATCCTACCCTGCTCCCCAGCTCCAGAGCCCTTTGTGTTTAGCCCTTTGTCTCCGAGGGAACCTGAGCATGTGCACACTGGCTGACTGACTGACTGAAACCCCCCCCCCCCCCGCATCATCTTTGGAGTGGTGCATGACCAAGGGACCAGTACATAGGCCCTTGTCATAGACCGCTCACACTGGGGGAGGAGCCAGCAGGCAGTCCCACCTCCCACGTCACTGCTGCAGCCAGACCACAAGGCTGGTGCTGTCACGGGGCTTGGAGACTGACCCAAATTGAGGTCAGGCCCAGATAAGGGCAGTGGCCTGGGGGCTAGTTCCATCTGGCCAGAAGGAAGAGTCTAAATTTATTTAGCATGTTTTGAGGGCCAGTGGGGCCCTGGAACCCAGTGAAGCTCAGACATTTTCCAAGAATTGGAAATAAGGAAATAAATGGTCAGTATGGAACTCAGAGGGGTGAAGTGGCTGGCCAAGTGAGCAACATCACTGTGTGGAGGCATAAAAACAAAGGGCACTTTCAGTTTTCACAGATAATCTGGCATCAACTAAAGAGGAGATGGTTGTCCTGGCAACAGCTGCCATGGAAACAGTAGCTATTTTTGAGCATCAACCTGGCTTTCACTGGAGGAAAATGCTGATTCAGATGACAACATCCTTCACGCCCTTCTCCATCCTCACTCCCCCCAGAACTCCTCTCCCTTTCCTGGTGTCCTGTTCAGAGGACCAGACTGCCTCCCACATCGGGTGGCTGTCAATCAGGCAGGGGGCAGGCAGAGCTGCTAAGAGCCAGGAGGGTGGGCCGGATGGCCACTCCAGGCTAAGAGCACATAGAAGCGCTGAACCTCCTATGGTCCCAGAACCTCCTCTGGCCAGGTGGGGTCAGGGGCCAGCCAGCTGTTGGTCCTTTGACATACCTTCCAGTCTGTGTCCACAGCTGACAGAAATGCATCAGAGTTCTCCTGTGGGAAGACAAATAGAGGGGGTGTCACGTTAGGCCACAGGGGTTCTGCCATGAGCAGACTGGATTTCTGTTTCTCGGTCTGTCTTAATATTAATAAAAGTGACCAAGAGCTTACCAAGTGCCAGAGACCTGGCTGTTAAGTACTTGACGGATATGCCTGTGAGTTTGTCAATTTAAGATGTGCAGAGTTTGATTTTACAGGTGATAAGGATGAGGCTCAGAGAGGCTGAGTCACAGGGCTAGAAAGTGATGGAATCTCTGGCTCCAAATCCCTGCTGATGGTCACCTGGCCCTCCTGCCCCCATAGACGTTTTTCCACAGACTGATCAGCATGGCACAAGGGCAGAGGCAGGAGAGGGGTAGGTATGACACTGCACCCACTTTAGGGATATGGAAGCTGAGACCCTCACAGAGGAAGAATGAGGGGGATTTCCTACCCCACACAAAGGCACGAGTGGTAGCTGCCCCCACTTTTCCTCGGACTGGCTGCTTCGTGCTCTTGAATTGCTAGGGCTCACTTGACACTGAACAGTGTGAGCCTTGGATTCAAGCCTATCCTGCCCACTGGACTGCAGGTGCTGCGAGGGCGGGTGAGTCTGGCTGTGCTCTCAGCACGAAGCGTTGCTCAGAAGGGGCTCCCCAAACAAACAGATCTGGTTGAACAATCTGACTTCACAAATGAGGGCAACCAGGCTCAGAAGGCTCCTGCAGGCTCTGAGGTTACACAGATGGGACAGGCAAGAGAGGGGCTCTCCCTGAGGCCAAGAGGACCTCAGATCCTGTGGTGGGGTCTGGCTCTGGCTATGTTACTCGCCCTCTCTCTAGGTCCCTATCTTCTCATTTGTAAAATGAGGCACAGAGACCTGCTCAGACTCAGGCCACTTTTGCACCAGGGGAGGGAAACATATTGGGGACCCACACAAGTCCAGGTAAAGCAGAACTTCCAGGCCCTGCTGTATCTGTCTAGATTCTAGAAGCTTCTCTGCTGGCCTCTGCTAGGATGTGGGCTCCTGGGAGGTCACTTAGTCTCCAAACCTCAGTGTTTTATTTTATTTTATTTTTTTTTGAGACAGGAGCCTCAAGCTGTC